ATGTGTGTGTGTGTGTGTGAATGTGTGTGTGTGTGAATGTGTGTGTGTGTGTATAATGGAGGACGAGCCTCACCCTCATTTTTATTGTGTCGTAACTGTCAACAGCACATAGTAACGGTGACAATAACAAAACAGTGCCTGAAAACGAGGTTAAAGCCTTCTGTATAAGACAGGACTCAATGTGGCTGACTTTTTCGTTCATTTCCTGACTTTCCTGGATTGAATTCATCTGCTGCTTTGCATCCTTTTTCGGATTGTTGATCCTTTTACCAGAAACCCTTTGGCATCTGCATCTGGCCTGTTAGCCATTTCCATGTCTTTGAGTCCAGTCGTTGAGTTCTGGTCTATGGAGGGATCATGTCACCTGCCTTTCACGGTTTCTGTAGTCCTGTGGAGTTACTCACATCTGTTGGTTTGGATCTCTCTTCTGGGTTGTGTGTGTGTAGAGGGTCTTCTTAATTAACAAAATATTCTTGAAGGCTCAATCCCCATTACCACCAGGAATGCATATGGTGCACATACATACAGATAAAGTAAAAAAAAAAAAATCTATCTTTTTTGTTATAGACAGACTCTCATTCTGTAGCCCTGGCTGGCCTGGAACTCTCTAGGTAAACCAGGTTGGCTTTGAACTCATAGATATCTGCCTTCCTCTTTCTCCCAAGTGCTGTGCTTAAGGTGTACATCACCAAAATCAGCCAAAAATCTCTTTCTAGTGTATTTTTTAATAGAACTTGCAAGTTGGAATAATTCCTTGGTCTGTGGTCTGCACAATGGATGTTGGGTTAGCCAGCATGAAAACAGCATTAACTTCGCTGTGTGTCTGTCAGAGATCTTAGGGACCAGGTATGTTCCCAGTGACTACTGTGGTTTTAAAGGAAATTTTTATCTGAGCAGTAGCTACCGACGAGCTAAAACATTCACTACACCTTGTTGTAAGTGGGTGTGCAGGCATCCAGGCTTTGCTGAACCAATTCAATCTAATTTCCCAGAACCGTAAGATTTTCAGAATGGCAAATTAGCATTTGCTACCACTTCAGGTCACCAGCAGCACCGAAACTGGGCACTGACTTTTCCTCTCCATTCAAGATGGCTCCTTCTTCCAATGCAACCTTTCCAGTTGAACACCTGTTGAGTGTGGCCCTCTTCATCCAAGGTCGTAGCTGGATCTTCTGGATTTCCTTCTGCATCTTCTTCGTTGACATTGTTCCTTCCCTTTGCGTCACCGTGTTCAGGAGCAGCTTCTTGCTGTAAACCACATGAGCCAGGCTCTGCCAGCCTCTTCTGCTGCTTCCTGAGCTCTGGGAATCTTCAGAGAACTGAAGAGAGTTACAGTGTTGCTTGGATAAGGGCTCGGGAATGCTGTGTCTGGTCTGATGTTGCCCAGAACACTAAAATTTTCTCCATCATCAACATGAAGCCTGTTCTGCTCTCTCATCCATGTGTCCTTTAGAGTAGTGATCTTCATCTCCTTCAAGACCTTCTCCTTCCTGGTCCTAAGTTGGCTTCCATTTGGCCCAGGAGCACCAGTGTTCTGCCTGTCTCAGCTTTGAATGCCTTCCTCACTCAGCCCAATCATTCCTAGTTCTTGATTTAAAGGAAGAGACTGTAAGAGAGTCTCACTTAGAAGCCATGGTAGAGCTACTAACGGTCCTTATTTCAGTATTTGATTGTTGTGTCTCAAAGAATAGAGACCCCCAAAGAGATGGGGAGAACTGTGTGGGAGAGGCCAGTCCATGAAGCAGTCAGAACGTGCACAATAGTGACTGGTGGAGCTCACCCTCTCATGTATGGGTTGTAGTTTGTGGCACCCTAAAACCTTTGTAGACATGAGAGCAGGAGGCGCTAACCACTGCACTGTACATCATGCTTCTGAAAAGTGCCGACTGGTACTCTGTGTACCATTCTGCTGTTCTTCTATGTTTTATATACAGTTAAAGGCTAAAACACTGTAGCCAAGGGTCGGGGGAGGCGACTCAGTGTCACAAGTGCTTGCCATGCAAGTGTGACTACCTGAGTTGGAATCCCCACCCAAAGCCAGGTGTGGTAATATGCATTTGCCTTCCCAGAACTCCTACAGCAAATGGGAGGGGGAGATGGGAGAATCCCTAGTGGATGCAGCTGTGGGCAAGGGACTCTGTCTGTCTCAAACAAGGTAGAAGGAGAGGACTGACATCCAAGGCTGCTTTCTGATCTCCATATGCACCCTGTAGCACGTGCACACAACATTGTGCACAGAAAACACACACGCACGTTTGAAAAAAATATAGATACGTAGAGGATCAAATCTAAGATCTGAGGGTCTATAGTTCTGATGTGGCTACAGACCCAGATAAGGTGAGAAGTCATTAGTATAAATGTTGAACATTAATGATGAAAAATAGAGGTGCATGGGATACTTTAAGAAGTAATAGATCATTATCACACACAGAACAAAGAAAGATGCACACACACACACACACACACACACACACACCAATCTTCTCAGGCAACAAAATTTGCAGTCAGCATCTTGGACATGAACTTCCTGAGGGCAGCAGGTGGGACTGGCTTGCCTGCCTATCACTCTTACCTTGCAAAGCATCAGTTGCTTACTTGGGTACTCACTGCAAGTGCAAGATAACCTCTTACCACACAGTAAGCAGTCACTGCGCTCCTTCCTGACATGGTGACCTTTATCTGACTATAGGTATGTAAGCCAAGTGATCGTCAGTGATATGACTGTGAAGAAGAAATGGCATTTCCAGTGCAACTGTTGGCTGGCCGTGGACTTGGGCAACTGCGAGCGTGACAGGGTCTTCACACCAGCCTCCAGGAAGGAGCTCTCTTCCTTCAGGTACAACTGTTAGTACAGACACTGATGCACACTTAGAAGACTATAGCTCAGCTATTTACTCCTCCGTGTCTCCCCATCAGTCTTTGTGACTCACAATTTTGGACTCTTCTTTGGCATTTCCCTCCTCAGGACAAGCATGTGAACGTACATCAAATGCCTAAATATGAGGGGGGAAAGTGGCCATAACCTCTCCTCAGGAATGTTCCCTTTTCTCCTGTTGTGTGGTGGGAACAGCAAGGTTCCATTACTTCTAAGAAGCCGCTCCCATTCAGCTGCTATAGAAGAAATCACTCCTCCAACAAGCGTTCTATTTTTGTTATGATTTTGAGAAATTAAGGGAAGGGCATACCTGGGTAGTTGCGTTCCTTCTGATGGGCTGGGTCTGTAGCCATCTGCAACTTCTTGCTGGCACCATGGTTGGCAGGTGGTGGCAGCTGTCAGCCACACAGCACCTACACATGGCTGCCCCAGCATGGCAGCCTCGGGCTAGCTGGGTGTTTTATCTTGTGACCAGCTTTTCCTAGACTGGCATTTCAGGAGAGCTAAGCAGTTTCTGCTCTTTGTGACCCCCACTCTGTAGAGCTTCCCGGGGGAGAGACAGTCTACCATTTGATGGGAGAAGTTCAAGTGAATTTTGAAAATGTATTCAAATTGCCACGGGAACATAAAGTTTATGGTTGGCCTGCACCAGCAAAGGCTTTGTGGCTTGACCTTGCCAGTGTCCCCCATCACATTTGGTGTGTGATAGCTGGTTACATCGAGTCCCCCTGGGTTACTTTGGCCCAAACTGAAACCCATAAACAATGGCATAACAAACTGGCTAAGATCAGCTTTGAATAGTCATGATCCATAGCCTGGGAGAGCGTCCCATGGTTCCTTGCCACTGCAGAGAAAGATGTTATTAGAACAGAGGAAATAGCCGGGGGGTGGGGGGGTGCACACCTTTAATGTCAGCACTCAGGAGGCAGAAGCAGGTGGATCTCTGTGAGTTCTTGGCCAGCCTGGGCTACAAAGTGAGTTTCAGGACAGTTAGGACTGTTACACAGAGAAACCCTGTCTTGAAAATTTAAAAAAAAAAAAGAGAGAGAAAACAATGGCATGGGCTAAGTGACCAATAAGATTTGTCACAGTGCAGGGATTGTCTTGTACCTGACACTTGGTGGAGAAATCCCTTAGGCACCTAGAAGTAGAATTTCCGAGGGTATGCATGTTGTGAGACAAAGGATAACAGACTCCAGTGAGTTTCTCATTTCACTTATTCTTCTTTCAGCTCTCATTTTCTTTGTAATTTCCACTATCCTGGTCTCCTATTTAGTAAGACTAAGGTCTTATTTTCTTTTTGGTTCCTCATAATGTAATCTCCTTTAGTTCTTTGATTTAAAGTAGCTGATTAAGTCTTTGTCTAGAGGCCAAGTGTGCTGGCGCACACCTGTAACCCCAGCCCTCAGAAGCTGAGGCAGGGGGATCGTGAGTTCCAGGTCAGCCTGGGCTAGCAGCCCTTGTCTAGTAAATACAATGTCTTGGCCTCCTCGAAGGCCATCTGTTTACTGTCTTTTCCCTGGATATTCTCATGTGTTGACGTGTTAAAAACGGCATCTTTAGTACAGCGTGCTCCAGGAGTCAGTTGTCTCTCTGTTCCCGCCAGCGTGACTGGTTTGGATGCTGTTTGTACACTAAGTGATGACTCTGAACTGATTCTGTAAGGTCTAGATTCTTTGTCATGTGCGGCAATTGACATGTTTGCACAGTTAGCATAGTGTCAGCATAGTGCTCGTGCCCAGCTGAAGATTAGACCATTCCCTGAGATTCCTGGATTCCAGCGAGCCTCCGCTCTTGGTTGCAGGGCTCCGTGGGCGCAGTGGGCCATGCCTCCCGTGTGCAGGAGGGCTATCTGCAACCATGCCTGAGCCTTCCCCTCCGGCTTGCTGAGAGTCTTAAGGTCATCCAAGAGTGACATTAGGAATTCCTGGAGGGTTTTCTGAGCACGCACCTAACACTCAGCCTTACACAGTCATATGGCTTCTAGATTCCAGAAATGTTATCAAAGCTTTTCAAAACCTTTTGGAATGTCCATGCCCTAGATTTTTTTTGTTTCATTCTTTTCTGGTTAACCCATTGTTTAACAGCTGTAAAATTAAACTACCTCTGAATATTTCTGACCAGGCCTCCAGCAAAAATGTGCTTTGCTCTGGGTGAACTCCCTGTCATGTTGGATAAAGAATAGTTTTGGAAATGGGATTTGTTCTTCCTGTTCTAAATTTTGCCCCAATTCTTCATATTGTGGTTCACTCTTTCATCCTATGTGGCAATCAGAATGTCCTTCTAGTTCGGCCCTCAGCTCAAAAAAAAAAAAAATGTCCTTCTAATATACACAGTCATGTTTGAATTCTGAAAAACTCTCAGGTGTAAACTCTGAAAACACTACTAACCTGCCATTCTCTGGTTGTGCTGGGGGCTCTCAGCTCTCCTCCATGTTGTTAAGCAGTATCTGTACATTTGTTCTTGTGTTCTCTGTGGCTGATTCTGGATAATTCTCATTCTCTCTCTCTCTCTCTCTCTCTCTCTCTCTCTCTCTCTCTCTCTCTCTCTCTCTCTCTCGTGTGTGTGTGTGTGTGTGTGTGTTGTGTATGTGCATTGTCCATACATGCTTTGGAGGTCAGAGCTGACTGTCCACCTTGTTTTTTTGTTTTTTTTAAAACAGAGTCTATCACTAGTCTGGAGCTTGCCAAACAGGCTAGACTGACTGACTTTTTTTTTTTTTTTTTTTTTTTTGGTTTTTCGAGACAAGGTTTCTCTGTGCAGTTTTGCGCCTTTCCTGGAACTCACTTTGTAGACCAGGCTGGCCTCGAACTCACAGAGATCCGCCTGCCTCTGCCTCCCGAGTGCTGGGACTAAAGGCGTGCGCCACCACCGCCCGGCTAGACTGACTGACTCTTAAACCCCAGGGCTCCACCTATCTCTTCCCACTTAGGGCTTGGATTAGACACATGTGCACGCACACACACACACACACACACACACACACACACACACACACACACAGCACCACACATGGTTTTTTTTTAAAACATGGCTTCTGGAACCAAACTCAGCTCTGCCTGGGTCGATTCCAGTTCACTAATGTTCTCTTCAACCATATTTGTGTGTATAATCTTTTTTGTTTCTTGAGCATATTTTTCAGGGTCATTATATCAGTGACAGAGTATTTTCCTGTCATGCATGAGGCTGAGGGGTCTAAGCCTAACCCCTACAAAACATACATGCCATATCTCACAAAAGAAATCAAATTGGATCTATTTCTGTGTTTTTCATAATTTTTATTCTTGGGGGGTTCTTTGGTGTTTTGGGGGCTGTTTTTTTGTTGGGGAGGGTTGAGATTGGGTCTCACTATGTACCCCTGAGTGGCCTGGAACTCACAGAGACTTGCCTGCCTCTGCCTGCAGTGCTGGGTTTGAGGATGTGCGCCCTCCAGCCCTGTTTGTGTCATTGTGAGGTCTCATCAGGTACTCTTAGCTCCTCCAGTTGACACACTACCTACAGCTCCTCCACACTGGGAATACAGACGGTGATTCAAATGTGAATCTCCTAAAGTATCTTGAACAGAAGTCTGCTTTCGAAGAAAAGAAATCAACCAAAACTCTTAGATCATCAAATGATGAGATTGTTTTTCTATTTTAAAATCTCATATGATACAAAGAGCTCACGCAGGGCTGGGGAGATGGCTCAGCAGTATAAGCATCTGTTGCTATTGCAGAGGAGCCAGATTCAACCCGTAGCACCCTCATGGTGGTTCACAATCATCATAACTCAAGTTCCAGGAGATCCAGTGCCTTTTTATGGTCTCTGTGGACACCAGGCATGTGTGTGGTACACAGACATATATGCAAGCAAAACACCCATACATCCAAAATAAAATAAATCTTAAAATATGTTTTAATCTCATGTAATACATGTTATCTGAGCGCTTGATCAGGAAGGTGTTAAGTGGAGGTCGAGAAGTTGCTATGCATCTTGCTGCTGGACAAACCATGCCTTAGTCTAGGTTGCTTCAGAGTAAAAGCTTAGGCTGGCAGGATGGCTCAGTAGGTAAAGGTGCTTGCCACTAAGCACGATGACCTAGGTTCAATCCCTGGAACCCACACAGTATGAGGAGAGAATTGACTCCTACAAGTTTTCCTCTGACCTCAGACTTGACATGAGCCCATACACACAACATAAAATAACTGTGCAAATTGTCTTTTCTCATCTAATTTCCCATTTTAGACACCTGTTCTCCTCCACGATCATAGAAAAGTTCACTCAGGACTATCTGTGGCTCTCAGTTGCAACTAGACATCCCTGGAACCAGTTTACAAGAGTCCAGCGGCTCTCTTGCTGTATGACACTTCTTCTCTGTGACATGGTCATCAATGTTATGTTCTGGAAGATGGGTGGTACCACTGCCAAGAGGGGTGAGCATGAGCCCTGGGGTGTCTGTCTGCGCTGGGGAATATTTTGGCTGTCTTTCCCTCTTTAAGGGTTAGGAATCGAGTCATGTTGTGCCCTCATTTCCTGTCCACTGCCCTGATGTTATATGCTAGCACATTCTCTTCATGCTCGCATTGATAAATAAAACTGTCTTAGGAACATACCAGGATCTTTACTGCCGTGGAACACTTTCTACCTCCAGATAAGTTCCCACATAAGTATCTCTAACCCAGGAGGGTCGAAGCTGACACCATGCACTTTCCTTTCAGTAGGTCCATTTGCTGTGACCTGGTCAGAGATACTCATCAGCGTCCAGACTGCCATCATCCTCTTCCCTATCCATCTTGTCTTTGGGCGGCTCTTCCAGTTGATTCACCCACCAGAACCTCTGCCCCGACTTCCTCCCACCCAGGCTGCCTACCCCTTGGGTCTTGCTTATGAATCTCCCTCCCCCACACAGGTGGTCACGGTAAGTTTCAGATCTAATTTCTATATGTGAAGTGCCTTCCCCCTTCTGTGTGGTGGGAAAGAGTCATAGAGGACTCCTTGAGAGGCTCACAAAGAGTGAGGCCTGGTCCCTTTAAGTCTTTCCCCTAAGTCCTGTCCACTGACTTGTGCTCAGTCATACTTTCTTCCAAGGTTATGAACTGTTCTGGAGACTGAGTGCGGGGCCGTGGGGAGCCCACTCCCACTTTTTCCCCGGGGCACTGTTGAGCCAGGAGGAGTGGGAAATACTTAGATAAAAATACAGAGGAGAGAGACAGATAGAAACACAGGATAACCTCAGGAAGGCCTGGGTCAAAACCCAGCAGGCCCCCCCCCCCCCCCCAAAGGGCTATTTATAGGAATGCCAAAGGGGGCAGCAAAAGACCTTCCCCTAGCACAGCCAAGTGCAGACCCTTCCAAACACCTGGTAACCACGCACCTGGTCAATCCATCCCAGGTTTGGCAATGCAGCCCTGATGTGTAAAGCAAGCTCAGATTTCACTAGGAAACCTCTGTGGACCCCAACATGGGGCAACACATACCACCCCGTACTGTTTTAGTTTTTGATGTGTGAGCAAACTGTCCCCCTTCCATTCTGTAGTCTCTGATAGAAATGGTTTTGAAGGCACTGGGGGTGACTCTTCTCTGAAAACATTAGAAAATGAAGCACTGGGTTTCTTTACGCTGAGCCGTGCCCTTGACCAAAAGAAACAGGCCAGCCTTCTGTAATTGTGCCCAGTGTGGACTCTGCAAGACAGACTGAAGCCTCTCAACTTGGTTCCATATCCAGGAATTAAAGGAAACTGTGGGATTCCTGCTCAGGAGAAACACACATCTGCTCTCAGAGTGTGAACAGTCTTCGTGGAGTTCTTGTGACATTAACAAGCTGGTGACGCTTTTCTCCAGCCTCATTTATTCTCACTTAGAAGACCAAGGCCGTCACCAGCAGACAGAATCCCGATGGGAAGACGGTAAAGTCCAGTGATTTTAGTAATGCTTTCTAGCATCTCCTCCACTCCTCCCATGCACCCCCTTCAGTTGTTATTCATTTTTGCCTTTCAGCACAAGGCAATTTATGCTTGTTTAATTTCCTTAAGCTTTCAGTCTTGGACTGATAGCTTCCATCTCTTGACTTCTAGATAATCTTGTGATAAAACTACAGTACTAATTGTAAAAACATAAAAATATTTAGATCCCGTATTCCACCAGCTGAACCTGTCATGTCATCTTTTTCTTCCCTTGAGTGGAGAGGTTGCGTGATTTATGAATTTTGAATCCGGTTTGGGCGCTTGCTAGTCTATCTAGGCTGCATGTACTGGAGCTTGGGTGGGAAAGTTTTAAAAGTGTCTGGGTCAAAGTTCGGAACTGTACAATGGTGAGACGGGTCTGCACCCTCAGCGGGAAGTAGTACTAGAGGTGCTGGAGCCTGTCTCCACCAGTCCTGGGAAACATTATTAGCTCTACTGTCACCTAATAAATTACTTATCTCCGTCACTGATCCCCGTTTATTGAAATCTCCCATTTGTGAACGTGTCCACCTGAACTAAATCCGCAGTGGTTTCTGAAAGCCACCACCATTTCTGCCGCTACCTGCTCCAAGTTCTACAGAGACTGAAATCGCACCTAAGTGAGCTCAGTGCTGCCCCTGTTCACCAGCCCTGTGACTTCTCAGAAGCAGTTAGCCAACTTCAAAAGCTCCAGGAATTCCTGGAGACACAACTTCTTCCCAGGGAGCGAGGGCCCTGCAGGTAAGCACTCCGGGCTCTCGTCACTACCCGTAAACTTTCTCTTGGTGTCTAGCTGGAGATGAATCCTCCAATTTCTATTCTTCAGGCAGTCAACCAGTTTCCCCATCCTAAGCCCAGAAGAAAGGAAGACGCCCGTGTCCTTTGGCCTGTTCAAATGGTTGAAGTACATTTGCTGGCTCCTCCTAGGTGTCATTAGCCTGGCTTCGGCTTTTTTTGTAACACTTTATAGCTTGGAGTTGAACAAAGACCAAGCCACCAGCTGGGTTATTTCAATGATGCTCTCCGTGCTTCAAGACATCTTTGTCAGCCAGCCACTAAAGGTATGTGAAGAGTGGGACGGACCACTACAATTGTAGGAAGCTGGAGAAACTGAGGCCACGTGTGTAAACCCGAGTGTCTTGAAAATTAGTAAATAAATCAACAGGCAGAGTGATATTTGTTAGGGATCTATGTTAAGTAGCAACAGAAAATGCCTAGCAACTAATAAATTAGCATACACACGGCAGAAAACGTTGAAGATGGGGCGGTTTTTAAAAATCAAACGGTGTGGCCAGGCGGTGGTGGCGCATGCCTTTAATCTCAGCACTCAGGAGGCAGAGGCAGGTGGAGAAGGAGGCAGCTTCTTAACATGAGAACGCCCACACAAGGAGCTGGTCAGGTCACTCGTCAGTAAAGGAACCCGAGTTGGATCCCTGGACCCTACATGGCAGAAGACAATAACTGACTCTGGGAAGCGATCCTGATCTCCACAGGGATGCCATAGCTACATGATAATATAAATGTATAAATGAATGGGAGATGGCTCAGCGGTTAAGAGCACTGACTACTCTTCCAGAGGTCCTGAGTTCAATTCCCAGCATCCACATGGTGGCTCACAACCATCTGTAATGAGATCTGGTGCCCTCTTCTGGACTGCAAGGACACATGCAGACAGAATGCTGTATATATAATAAATAAATAAATAAATAAATAAATAAATAAATAAATAAATAAATAAATAAAAATAAATAAATAAAAATAAATAAATATATATATATATATGAATAAATGAATAAATAAATAAATGGGACATACTATGAGTCTCCACCGGCACCTGTATGTGTGACATTATCATCTGGGGCCTTCCAGTACCTGCTCATGGAGTTCCCCCATGCCTCTTGTCTCCAGGTGACGTTCCTCACATTCCTGTTCTCACTGACGGCGAACCAGATGCCATGGCTCAACAGAGACAAGGAACAACATGCCAAGAGAATCGTAGCACTGTGGGGTAATCCAAATCATCCCAGCTACTGTTTAATTTTACAAAGAGCGAACCATGTAAAAACAGTGGAATGTGAGCTACCTCAGATTCCAGTTTCCTCAGAGGCCTTGTCACTTGGCTGATCTCCGCCCAGAGCCCAGTGTCACAAACTCACATCCCCTGGAAACCAGTGCTTCCTTGTATCTCTCCTCCCTGAGCCCCAGATGGTTCCTGTACTGCCTGTCTTCTCTACCTGAATGCCTTCAGTTGTCTCAGGCGGAGCTGCCCGCCCGCCCGCCCCACAAATCCACTCTTCTGTATTTTCTCATTTCTGTCAGGAGGCCTCACCCCCAACGCTCTACACATCAGAGTAATCCTAAGTACTCTTACTCCCCACACTCAGTCACCAAGTCTGAGGGGCCTTTTTACAGCCTGGAAAAAACTGACTGAAGTTACATCACCTGAAGGAATGTTGCACACACAATGCTGAGGCAAAACTGTAAGACTCAAAAATGCTAGCACGATGTTATCCACGTGTTGGCTGGAGCAGGTGTGTGTATCCCCTGTAAATGTTTCTGTAAATGCTGAAGAAACAAACAGGAATAATCTCTAAAACTCAGGAAAAGGTTACCTCTCTGAGGGAAGGAAGGGGTACCACATGGAGGATAAGTGATGGACCCAAACCTAGCAATCGCTTGCTTAAACTCAACGGTGGACATGCTAAAGGCGAGGCACTCCATTCCTAGTGAGGTTTTACAAATTTAAAAAATCTCACTTGAAATGCCTTTCTTGTCTTCATTTCATTTCTTATGCACTTGAACTGTTTTCTTTATGTGAAGTGACTTCTTTCTCAAAGGTCTTGTCCTTGTCCCTCTGAAGATCTGTGACCTGCCCTTAAGTCGTGTGTTGTGTGGGGTATAGTTCAGGGCGAGAGTGCTTGCTGGTATACCAAAGGCCCTGAAGTGTGAGTCCCAGCACCGAAAAGAAAAGTCAAATACTAATTCCTCTATGACGTCATCTCCAACTTTCTTTGGAGAGGTTTTGTTTATTTTCCAGTGATTGTATCGTATTTGGCATACTGGTGAGTTTTCTTTGATTTCCCCTCTCTCTGTCTCTTTCCCTACCTCGATCTCTAGCCTTCCCTTTTGCTATAAATCCTACCTCCTTCTGTTCTGTATAAGTCTTTAGACCAGACCATTGTCCCTCCCTGGATTCGTTAGCAGTGCTCAGTGTGGGACTTTATCCCTGACTCTGCATTGAGAAGAAGCCTAGGTGATGTCTATTCATGTTAAACATGAGAACAATGTTCCCACAGTGCACTCCCCTGAGGAGAAGCACAGGTCTCTAGTTCAAGATAGAAGAATACAGCGGAATAGCTTATGCCTGCTGAATCTAATGTTTATGATGAAAGGGCTAGGGACGAGCTCAACAGAGCACTTGCCTGGTGTGTGTGAGGTGCTGCACAGGATTCCCAGCACTGAGAGAAAATCCTTACCAGTGGGTGGTGGTGGTGCATGCTTGTAATTTCAACATCTGGGAGACTGAGCTGGAGAAGATCATCCCTGTGAAGCCAGCCTGGGCTATTTCTGACAACAGAGACATTGTCAGAAAAGGAGGCAGGGAGAACACGCTAGGGTTTGTTTGGTATGGTACCAAGTTCATGCATGTTAGACAAGCACTCTACAACTCAGCCATGCACCCATACTTGTGCTATGCGGTGATATATCGTGTACCCTAATAACATTTGCCTGAAGATCAGAGAACAGAACAAGCCTCTAGATTAAACACAGAGGCCAGGCAGTGGTGGCACACACCTTTAATCCTAGCACTTAGAGGCAGAGATCCATCTGGATCTCTTGGAGTTCAAAGCCACCCTGGACTACATGAGATTGACTCAGTCTAGGAGAGAAATAGATCCGTGAAGTGGTGGCACACACGTTTAATCCCAGCACTAGGAAGGAAGTAATATGGCTAGGCAGAGAAAGGTATATAAGGCGTGAGGAGACAGGAACTAAAGCCCTTTTCAGCTGAGGAGATTTTTTTGGCTGGAGACCTTTCGGCTGAGGATTCAGAGACATTCAGTCAGAGGGTTCGTGGAGTTGGCAAGGTGAGACGTGGCAGTAGCTTGTTCCTTTGTCTCCCTGGTGTTCAGGCAAATTTTATTAGGGTACACAATATATCACCACAGTGCTGAATTTCATTTTTCTAGTAACCAATTTTTATTGTCTTTTATAAGTTTGGGCCCCAGTGGGTTGGGAGTTTAAGAAGAAAAACCCAGGCCTTTCCCCCATAGATAGAGATGTGTTGCTTAGACAACGTTTTATCTGCCCCTCCAACATTCAACAGGAATGCTCACAGTAGACGCTCAACAAAACGTAATGAAATGTAACATTTATTTGGCCTATATTTCAATATTTGACAGCAAAGTGTTCTTCATCAGCACCTGGTTTGAGAGATAAGAACAATCCCATCTATACTGCCCCAGCCATGACCAGCTCGGCCAAGCACCCAAAGACAGCCTGGAAGAAGCAGCTCTTCAAGCTGACTGGTGGTCCTCTGGGTATGAAGGGGTGGTAGCAGCGTGCACCTCTGTACACACTGGCCAGCGGGGAGGGCCAGGGAGAATAAGATGGAAGACAGGGGAGGGCAGAAAAGTGTCTTTGAAGAGGAAATTTAGAGTTCCAGCAATGCAGGTGATATGCTCAATGGGAAGAGCCCCGAGCTTCTAGTCCTCAGGTTTCACTGAGGTGGAGTGGGAGGTCTCCACCTACCAAGGGAAAACAAGACCCAACTTACATACTCTCTGGACTGGGGGAACAATGAAATTGCTTTGGAAAATGGTTCTTCTAAGTGCTGGGTTTAACATACTCAGTACACTACTGGCCTCCCTGAACCAGAGATCGGAAAACAATGACTCTGTTATTGTTCTTTTCTTTTCATGCCTTTCCTTTTGTGAATCCAGAATGTGAAGGAGCACTTATGTCTAAGAATCAAAATACAGTGTAAACACGGGCGGATCTTATGAATCTTGAATTAATTTCTGATTACTGGCAGGATGATTCTGGAAAAGAAATATATTTATAATACATATGTATATATTTCTCTCTCTCTCTCTCTCTCTCTCTCTCTCTCTCTCTCTCTGTGTGTGTGTGTGTGTGTGTGTGTGTGTGTGTGTGTGTGTGTGTGTGTGTTCATACCCATTGGGTTGAACTATTTGAAATTGCCCATTTCAACTCCTGGATTTTTTGGGTTTTGGGTTCTTTTTCGGTTTGATGGTTTTTTGGCTTTTTTGAGACAGGGTCTCGTTATGTAGCTCTGGCCATCCCGGAACTCGCTCTGTAGACCAGGCTGGCCTCACAGAGATCCACCTGCCTTTGCCTGCCAAGTGCTGGGACTAAAGGTTGTGTCATTATGCCCAGCTCCATTTTGACTGTTTTTGACCTGCAGAAGTCTGTAAGTGTAAGAAAAATGAAAAGGGTTTAGATTTTTAAAGTAACTGCTCAGATGATTTTTTTTTCCTTGTAAGCCAGTCCAGATCCTCTTTCTGAGCCTGCTGATGGCTACCGTCTACTCTGCAAGGGACTCCAGTCAGTTTTTCCTCCATCAAGCTATCTGGAAGAGGTTTTCTCACCGTCTCTCAGAAATCAAACTTCTGGAAGATTTCTACCCATGGGCCAACCACACCCTCCTTCCTAGCCTATATGGGGATTACAGAGGTAAGGACAGTCCTGGGGCAGATGGGAGGTACGAGACCTCGTCTACAACCCGTGGAAAACTAGAGAAAGGTCAGCCGGCTTCTCAATGGGCCACACCTCTGTGGACACTGCAAAGACCCTAGACTCCATCCAAGAAGCTTTGGTTAACTACTCATGGTGATCCGTGGTGTCTGATTCCCAATGGTGCATGACAGATTCATGTACAGCATAAAAGTAAGTGCAGGGACCCTGTGTAGATGAATTTCTAAATGGTCTTATTAAATAAAAAACACAGAGTCAAATATAGGTGTGAAAGCCTTAGGGAGATCAGGGAAATAGGGAAAGTCACCAGCCAACCTTACCTCACCAACTCTGCAGCTTCCAAATGCCAGTTACTTCCTGTCTACCCACGCCTATATGCCTTGCTGTTCTGCCATCTGATTTGCTCTCTCCATTCAACTACATCACTTCCTCTTCCTACCCAGATCTGTCATTTCCTGTCTGTCTGCACAGACCTCCAGGGTTAACTAGTTTTGGAATTTAAGGCGTGTGCCACCACAGCTGGCTCTGTTTCCAGTGTGGCCTTAAACACACAGAGATCCTGCCTGCCAAGTGATTAGATTAAGGGCATGTGCTACCATTGCCTGACTTCTTTGTTTACTTATAATG